CTCCGCCTGACACACGGGTCAAAATCTCTGCCACTGGGTCATAAATTGGGCCGGCAAAATCCTGGCACCTCAATCTGCCCCTTGAACCCAGTCCATCCAATCGCATGGATCAGGGCGGTGTTCATGCGTCCCTATACAGGTATCCAAAATCTGGGGTGCAAAGACTGCCGGCCTCGCAGTATTGCCACGCACACTCGTTGGTGAAGTTGAACCTAGGCTCCGCTGCCTCTTTTTCTCGGGGTTGATTCCCCATTCTTTCCAACCATCGTTCTTGTCGAAAACCGGCCGTTTCCCTAGGTTTCCGGAGGTTTTCCGGAAAGGAGAATCCCTGGAAATTATGGGGAAGGCAGCACTGGACTTTTGCTAGAAAACTGATGGTTGAAGCAATCAAAGCAATCATTAAATTGCCAATCAACACTTTGAGTGGTCATCTAAGGTTGAGTGCGAGGCAAGGCCAAAAAGGCTTCCCTTCGCCCCAAAAACAGTACACCACCAGGACAAAAATTGGCCCTCTTGGGTCGCCCCTACCGATGTTCACATCCTGTTTTGTCAGAATCCTTCAAGTGAAAGAGCACAGCGGGGGGCAGTCAGTGTTCACACTTGCAAGCCTTTATATAACTTACAACAGGGCGGCAAATGACCATGCCGCACCTGCTAAATCTGAGCACATTGACCCACTGGCGTGCTCAATGTTCCACAGTTGCCAGAGGACAGAACCATAGGTGAGCTTCTATCAATGGCTTATTAACCCCTGTCTGAACCACTGGAACCCACCTATATATTTCTAACCAAACTAACCTAAAAAAAGGCACCAATGGACAGAAATTTGGTTAAGTTATATCCAAGTTGCCGACTCCAGGGCGGAGTTGTATCGATGATATCGCGTGCAGACATAGAAACATATGTGCACCTATCTGTCCCAGTTCCACGGAGGAGTGCCAACCAAAAACTGAGTTCTTGACTAGGAGTAAGCAAACCAACAAAAAATAAGACCCCACAGGTATTGGAGTTCTCTTTACTACGTCCTTTTTTCTAGGTCCGTTTGGCCTTCAGAATCCCCAGGCCAGGGAGTGCGTGAGTCTCATGACGTAACTGTGTTTTTTCCCGACTGGCAACATCCCCAGCATCACCAGCATCACTTGGACCCCTATTGGCTCTGATTGGGGTTTAAAGTTGGCTGGCTTAGATCTTGAAGCTGCTGTTGGGCAAGTTTAGGCTTGACTTTGAGGGTTTGGGGTTGGCTTGGAGCTGAGTGTGCTGTTGGTTTTGCAGTGTCTTTAGGGTTGCTAGGCAACCCAGGTCCAAGTGATACTGGTGATGCCGGGGATGCGGCCACCAACCAACCCGACCGACCGACGACCGACCGACCGACCAACCAATCAACTGACGTCCTTCCGACCGACCGACTGACCGACTGAGTGACCGACCGACTGACCGACTGACCGACCGACCGACCGACCTAATTTCAGAAATGCAAAGAAGGGAGACACGTGCCCCATCTCCAGCCAATCTTAAAACACCAAGACCCAAAAAGGAGGTGGTTGCTTCGGGACCAAGCGCCCGTCGTAACCAAAAGAGTATGTGCCACCTCTCTTTCGTCACCCTCCCGCGGGCGCGCGGCCAGAGCTCCAGCTTGGGCTCGGAGACCTTCTCCATGAGGCGCTTCAAGTTGTAGGCGCTGAGACGGGAGAGGAAGACGGGGTCCTGTCAGATTTCAGCTCTGGTCTAGGTCCTCCAGTAGAGAGGATAGAATAAGGGTACCGTCCATGAGGATGAGGATGGGAGTCTGAAGGGATTTCAGCTTCATTGGTGGTTGGGTGGCCGATGCTGGAACAAAAAAGAAGCGCCGCAGCGCGGCATCTTTTTTTCAGCTCTGAGTTGGAGGCAGTTGAAAGTGAACGACCTAAAGCATCTCTTCTCAAAAGAACGATGCTGCTTCGGGGCCTACTGAGATGAGGCCCACCCAACCGACCCTAGGAGAGAGCCAGACCTAGGAGCAAAAAAAATCACCTACTGTGGATGGACGAAATCCATTTCGCACCACTTGGAAACCATGGTTGAAACCATTGTTTGTTAGAATTTACAGGGGAATCGTCATTCCAGGGTTTCTTAAGTGGTGCAGGATTTCGTCCATCCACAGTAGGAAATCAACACCGCGTCCGCATTCTTTTCGAGGGGCAAAAGCACGGGCTGTGCTGGACCCTTTTTGGTTCCCGTCGTAGACAGGCTTCGGGACAGGCAAAAAGACCCCAAAACACATGCTGTGCTGCAGCTGCGTTCAGCTTTCTGTTCGTATGCGCACCACCCAATGGCCCAGGAAGGCCTTGTGTAGAGTTTGGCATGCGTGGCAATGCAAGAAATGCGAAGGAGTTGACCTAGGTTGCCTTCACACAAAGTACAAGAGACCATCCGGGAGTGCGTGGCTGCTTTTGCTTTGGATTCCTGGCTAACCCGTGGTTCAAACACACCATTTCCCTTCAGCTTTCTAACGCATCCTGGCAAACAGGGCTCCCGAATTATTTGCAACCAGGAAAAAACAATGACATTGGGCCCAAAAGGTTGATGTTGAAATCTGCACGGGGAAATATCTCCGCGAATAGATGCCGAACAGTCTCCTCCAACCCCTCTCCCCGCCGGTCCCCGAACTGGGTACAGCAGAAATAGCCCGCGACCTCGGCAATTTGACATGGGGTTGGATTGGTGGCTTGGCGCTGAAGGGGTGGCCCTCTACATCCAGGGGTTCAAGTCCGAATCCAAACCACCAATCCAAGCCACCAACTAAGGGATACCTCAGTTTGAAGGGAACCAAGAACAACAAAATTCACGATTTTGGGGCGACCCGTATTTTGACACATGTTGACGTCCGTCCAGCGCCGGTCTCCCTCTCGCTGTCCATTTAAACGACCCTTTGAGAGCCCAAGACATGGCAACGAGTCTCTGTTAATTTCTCTGAACAACCGGGGGTGCCCCCGATCCTTCAACTGCCCACTTTTCCATCTATGTATATATTTTTTCTATATATGCTACCCCCCCCCAAGAACCTACCTTTTGGTTGCCTCTCCAGTGCATGATTTGCCCATCTAGGACTGGGAGGAACGATCTCTCAACTAGGACCAGGACCAAATGAGACTAGAACCCAGTATCTCTCAACTGGGACTAGCAATGTCCTGTATACTTTCTAATTATTGCAGTAAACACTAGAACCAAGGATCTCTCATCTAGGACAAAACTAGAACTAGACCATTTAAGTCTACTTCTTATAGTATTTGGATGTCAAGTATTACATTCTGGTGGAAATAAAGTCATGTTTAATATTTGTTTTGAAACAGAATAACCATAAATTATGATTGGATAAGTTCTGTAATTGTATTCTACTGTTCAGTTAGCAGTTGCATAGAACTTGATTAATATATTAACTACGATTCATAAGATAAGGAACTTCCTTTGTATTGTCCTTTGTACGTTCTATTTATTTCAGTAAGCTAGGACCATACTAGGCCTAGAACCAAGGATCTCCCAACTAGGACTAGGACCAAACTAGGACTAGACCATCTAAGAATCTAACTCTAGTTCTGAAAGTGATTGAATTTCAAGTACAATGTTCCATTGGACAGGAATCGTTTGTACCATTTAATTTGATATAGAACAATCAATACTTAAGTTCGAACCTAAATCGAAATTATGTTTGGAGTATGTTCTTCTTAAGCTCCATTGAGTTTCAAACAGAAATTGGGTCGAATGTGATAAAACATACTAAGTGGAATTCATAAAGAAAGAATCCAAAGGTCCAAAACTTGTGCCTTTTCACTAGTCAAAACACTACCATGGTCAGAAAACACCGTAAAACACAGTGTTGTGTAGTGTTTTTCATACTCAATTCACATCTCCACCAACGAACACTCGCTAAATGCTCGTTTGAATTTGAACACAATTTAATTGGGATTCAATACGGAAATATTTGGTCAGAATCCTAATGGTAGTCAAATCTGAAATTTCGAGTGTAAATAGAGCTCCTTTCCCAATATGTACTTATAACTCAATTGGAGCTTTAACAGGATTTGATAAGGAAAGAACCCAAGCCTGTATTCAACATTCAAGAATCAATATTCTCTAGACAAGTCTTCTTTGCAAACGCGAGTCCAGGCCCGAGTGAAACCCATTGAAACCAACTGAAATTTCAGTTGAGCCTGGGTTCAAGATTCCCTAGAAAACTTTGGCCTACAATCTTGAATGTGGGCCTAGATTGAAGCAGATTGAATGAATAATCAGGATTTGGATGCTTGCACAACACTGCGCCAAAGTACAGCCGCGCAAAGTGCAATGTTGAATTTGGGTCTTGATTTAAACCGATTTAAACTGATTTAAGTTTAAATCGGGCATGGATTCAAGATTCAAGATTCAAGAATCCAAGCCAAACTTTTCCAGGGAATCTTGAATCCAAGCCTCGATTTAAACCGATTTAAACCGATTCAACTTAAATCGGGCATGGATTCAAGATTCAAGATTCAAGAATCCAGGCCAACATTTTTCAGGGAGTCTTGAATCTTGAATCCATGCCCGATTTAAGTTAAATCGGTTTAAATCGGTTTAAATCGGTTTAAATCGGACCCTGGATTCAAGATTCCCTGCAAAAGTTTGGCCTGGATTCTTGAATTTTGAATCTTGAATCCATGCCCGATTTAAATTGAATCGGTTTCAATCGGCTTCAATCGGTTTAAATCAAGCCTGAAGCTTCCAGAACGTCCTTGGAAATGCTTCTTGTTCATTGCTCTCCCCAAAGCCAAAAAAAGGGTAGAACACACTGCAAATACCAGTGAATTCTTCAAAAAGGTAGGTCCCTGCGGGGGGGGGGGGTACCATATGTATGTATATATATATATATACATGTGTGTTTTGACGCAGTTGCTTTGCGTGGCAAATATCTGTGTTGCCGGGGGTGTACATCATGCCCTGCGCGCGGAGCTAGAAGCAGGGCAGAAACTGAACCAACAGCTTCCATGGCTCCGCGTCTCTCCTCGCCAAGCCGCAAAGCACTGGTAGATGGCCGACAATTCCTGGCCAGACGAATTGAAGGCGAATCCTCGGCTTGAATTCTCCACACAGAAACGCCGTGAGGCGTGGTTTTGGCCTTAGCCACACCTTTTTGCATGCCCTTCCTTTGAAAGCCGACATGCTGAGAACGGCGAAAGGGGTACCAATCAGACCCTATCCAATCGAAATGGCCTCAGACCTTTGAGCCGTTGGAGTCTTGCTGGAGACACAGGCCCTTGCAAAACCCATCCAGCGAGCATTTTGAACTCAAGTTGGCGTCAAAGCTCCCTCTGAGCGTTCAGGTGGTGATGTCTGCTTGAGGCAATTCATAACCTCTCACCGCCAAAGAGTGTGTTCCTCTTCTTCTTCTTCTTTTTTCCTTTTTCTTTTTCTTCGGACGATTGCCAGCCAAAAAGGCATCCACAAGGTTTGTTAGAATCCCTGCCTAATCTGGTTTTGGTGCCCACCAAACGCGGAGAATAACCTTGTCCCGTTCTACATCCGGAACAAGTTGATGTTGAATTGCCAACACTGTATATGGGTGGCTCGACTTAGTTGGCGTTACCCTTTTGGTGGATTTACAGAGAAACCACAAGGACAGTACCATTGCCAGTGCTATTGCCAGTACTATTGCCAATACTTTCACCACACTACTCCCAGTCAATGCCCCACATTGCCAAGTCTCCCTGCAGTTCCAATGAAGAGACAAATGATGACATCTGTACCATCCGCAAACTCGTTGTCTGTTTGTTTTTGTTTTTTTTAATGGTCCATGTGTTTCTTCACTTGCAAACTCATATCATGGAGCACCATCCCTACCCCAGGTAAAACATCATGGGACCGTTTTCGACCATGGCATCTGATGGCGGGCTCCGAAGCTCAAGCTCTGGCCTCATCTGAGAAGTCGCTCGGGGCCTGGCATGGGGGGACGTCGGACGCGCAGAGGTGTCAAAAGGGGCCTATCTTGGGGCCCCGAAGTGCAGCAGAATGCAACAGGGTAGACACCCACATATAGCATATATATATATATTTATTTATTTATGTATTTAATGTATATTGTGTATATACATATTATTATATTATGGTTCTATCTCCCAAAACTCCTATCAGAGTTGGTAGAATGTTGCAGTTAGGGAAGACACCAACATACCGACCTTTGGCGCAGTTCCTTGAGCGCCAACCGGAGCCCAACCCGCAGCCCACCTACACGACGCCCCGGGTTGAAGTATCAGCCAGCTCAAGCCACCCGCAAGTAAATAGCCCCAACACATCGATGCTCTGCAGAAGACAGCAAACTTCTCCTGTCCATGGTCCAAAAAAATCAACCTCGCCGCTCAGACCTATCGATCCTTCATCTGACTCATCACAGGAGTCAGCAACCAAGCGTTCATTCTCGTGTATCATCCTGCAGCTGCAACCATCTCCAAACATCCCAACATTCACTCGCATCCACATGCTACATGCCGTATGGTGCCATCTTTCACGCATGGCTCCAATATCAGCGATCTCTGGATACAAATTTCTGCTATATTGTCTAATAGCCGCAAAGACACCATCTTTGCAAAACTGGTGTCAAACATTCAGCCACTAACTTCTCCTGTCCATGGTCAAAAGAATCAACCTTGCCGCTCAGACCTATCGATCCTTCAGCTGACTCATCACAGGAGTCAGCAACCAAGCGTTCATTCTCTGGTGTCATCCTGAACCAGCACGACGAGATCGTGATACTGTGAACTTGGCTTCTTCCAAACCTCGCGTCAGAAGTGCTCCCGGTTACTCATTGCCGTTTTGCATGGACCGAAGTTGGCTGAAACCTGAATCTGGCTGCAGCCGTCTGGTCCCGCGCTTGGTCTTGCGTTGCATCTTTCCTGCTGCAGCAGGCAAGGCTGCAACAGGTAAATAACAGCGCTTGTTCAGCCAATCAGAACATGTTCCGACAGAAGCAGCTGACACGCAACACATCGTGTGCACAACGTTGAAAACTGTAGCTTCATGTATGTGAAGCTGCAGCCAGTACTTTGCACCAGCAGTGTGGCTCTGCATCTGACCTGTGACAGAAATCCAGCTGCAACAGGCAAATGGCAGAGCTGTCACCAAATCCCTGACAGCCAAGCACAAGTCAGGCCAAACTTCAGTCCAATACCATACACATCCTGACCTCTGAAACAAGCCACCCACATACAGGCAGCACAACCTCAATCAACTCCTGCCCAGGAAAGCCGCTTGGCAATACCTCGCCGCTCAGATCTATCGATCCTTCATCTGACTCATCACAGGAGTCAGCAACCAAGCGTTCATTCTCGTGTATCATCCTGCAGCTGCAACCATCTCCAAACATCCCAACATTCACTCGCATCCACATGCTACATGCCGTATGGTGCCATCTTTCACGCATGGCTCCAATATCAGCGATCTCTGGATACAAATATGTTCTATATTGTCTAATAGCCGCCAAGACACCATCTTTGCAAAACTGGTGTCAAACATTCAGCCACTAACTTCTCCTGTCCATGGTCAAAAGAATCAACCTCGCCGCTCAGACCTATCGATCCTTCAGCTGACTCATCACAGGAGTCAGCAACCAAGCGTTCATTCTCTGGTGTCATCCTGAAGCAGCACGACGAGATCGTAATAGTGTCAACTTGGTTTCTTCCAAACCTCGCGTCAGAAGTGCTCCCGGATACTCATTGCGGTGTTGCATGGACCGAAGTTGGCTGAAACCTGAATCTGGCTGCAGCCGTCTGGTTCCGCGCTTGGTCTTGCGTTGCATCTTTCCTGCTGCAGCAGGCAAGGCTGCAACAGGTAAATAACAGCGCTTGTTCAGCCAATCAGAACATGTTCCGACAGAAGCAGCTGACACGCAACACATCGTGTGCACAACGTTGAAAACTGTAGCTTCATGTATGTGAAGCTGCAGCCAGTACTTTGCACCAGCAGTGTGGCTCTGCATCTGACCTGTGACAGAAATCCAGCTGCAACAGGCAAATGGCAGAGCTGTCACCAAATCCCTGACAGCCAAGCACAAGTCAGGCCAAACTTCAGTCCAATACCATACACATCCTGACCTCTGAAACAAGCCACCCACATACAGGCAGCACAACCTCAATCAACTCCTGCCCAGGAAAGCCGCTTGGCAATACCTCGCCGCTCAGATCTATCGATCCTTCATCTGACTCATCACAGGAGTCAGCAACCAAGCGTTCATTCTCGTGTATCATCCTGCAGCTGCAACCATCTCCAAACATCCCAGCATTCACTCGCATCCACATGCTACATGCCGTATGGTGCCATCTTTCACGCATGGCTCCAATATCAGCGATCTCTGGATACAAATATCTTCTATATTGTCTAATAGCCGCAAAGACACCATCTTTGCAAAACTGGTGTCAAACATTCAGCCACTAACTCCTCCTGTCCATGGTCAAAAAAATCAACCTCGCCGCTCAGACCTATCGATCCTTCAGCTGACTCATCACAGGAGTCAGCAACCAAGCGTTCATTCTCTGGTGTCATCCTGAACCAGCACGACGAGATCGTGATACTGTCAACTTGGTTTCTTCCAAACCTCGCGTCAGAAGTGCTCCCGGCTACTCATTGCGGTTTTGCCCGGACCGAAGTTGGCTGAAACCTGAATCTGGCTGCAGCCGTCTGGTCCCGCGCTTGGTCTTGCGTTGCATCTTTCCTGCTGCAGCAGGCAAGGCTGCAACAGGTAAATAACAGCGCTTGTTCAGCCAATCAGAGCGTGTTCCGACAGAAGCAGCTGACAGGCAACACAGTGTGTGCACAACATTGAAAACTGTAGCTTCATGTATGTGAAGCTGCAGCCAGTACTTTGCACCAGCAGTGTGGCTCTGCATCTGACCTGTGACAGAAATCCAGCTGCAACAGGCAAATGGCAGAGCTGTCACCAAATCCCTGACAGCCAAGCACAAGTCAGGCCAAACTTCAGTCCAATACCATGCACATCCTACACTCTGAAACAAGCCACCCACATACAGGCAGCACAACCTCAAACAACTCCTGCCCAGAAAGCCGCTCGGCAAAACCTCGCCGCTCAGGCCTATCGATCCTTCAGCTGACTCATCACACGAGACAGCAACCAAGCGTTCGTTCTCGTGTGTCATCCCGCAGAATTAGCGGTCTCTGGATACAAATAACCTCAATATTGTCTCATGACCAAGACACAATCTTTGCAGAAGCGGTGTCAGACATTCAGCCACAAACTCCTCCTGTCCATGGTCCAAGAATTCAACCTCGCCGCTCAGACCTATCGATCCTTCAGCTGACTCATCACAGGAGTCAGCAACCAAGCGTTCATTCTCGTGTATCATCCTGCAGCTGCAACCATCTCCAAGCATCCCAGCATTCACTCGCATCCACATGCTACATGCCGTATGGTGCCATCTTTCACGCATGGCTCCAATATCAGCGATCTCTGGATACAAATATATTCTATATTGTCTAATAGCCGCCAAGACATCATCTTTGCAAAACTGGTGTCAAACATTCAGCCACTAACTCCTCCTGTCCATGGTCAAAAAATTAAACCTCGCCGCTCAGACCTATCGATCCTTCAGCTGACTCATCACAGGAGTCAGCAACCAAGCGTTCATTCTCTGGTGTCATCCTGCAGCAGCACGACGAGATCGTGATACTGTCAACTTGGCTTCTTCCAAACCTCGCGTCAGAAGTGCTCCCGGCTACTCATTGCGGTTTTGCACGGACCGAAGTTGGCTGAAACCTGAATCTGGCTGCAGCCGTCTGGTCCCGCGCTTGGTCTTGCGTTGCATCTTTCCTGCTGCAGCAGGCAAGGCTGCAACAGGTAAATAACACCACTTGTTCAGCCAATCAGAACATGTTCCGACAGAAGCAGCTGACACGCACCACATTGTGTGCACAACATTGAAAACTGTAGCTTCATGTATGTGAAGCTGCAGCCAGTACTTTGCACCAGCAGTGTGGCTCTGCATCTGACCTGTGACAGAAATCCAGCTGCAACAAGCAAATGGCAGAGCTGTCACCAAATCCCTGACAGCCAAGCACAAGTCAGGCCAAACTTCCGTCCAATACCATGCACATCCTGACCTCTGAAACAAGCCACCCACATACAGGCAGCACAACCTCAAACAACTCCTGCCCAAGAAAGCCGCTTGGCAATACCTCGCCGCTCAGACCTATCGATCCTTCATCTGACTCATCACAGGAGTCAGCAACCAAGCGTTCATTCTCGTGTATCTTCCTGCAAAATTAGCGGTCTCTGGATACAAATAACCTCAATATTGTCTCATGACCAAGACACAAGCTTTGCAGAAACGGTGTCAGACATTCAGCCACAAACTCCTCCTGTCCATGGTCCAAGAATTCAACCTCGCCGCTCAGACCTATCGATCCTTCAGCTGACTCATCACAGGAGTCAGCAACCAAGCGTTCATTCTCGTGTATCATCCTGCAGCTGCAACCATCTCCAAACATCCCAGCATTCACTTGCACCCACGTGCTACATGCCGTATGGTGCCATCTTCGCATAGCACATTGCTCCAATATCAGCGATCTCTGCATACAAATATCTTCTATATTGTCTCGTAGCCAAGATACAATCGTTGCAAAACTGGTGTCAAACATTCAGCCACAAACTCCTCCTGTCCATGGTCAAAAAATTAAACCTCGCCGCTCAGACCTATCGATCCTTCAGCTGACTCATCACAGGAGTCAGCAACCAAGCGTTCATTCTCTGGTGTCATCCTGAAGCAGCACGACGAGATCGTGATACTGTCAACTTGGTTTCTTCCAAACCTCGCGTCAGAAGTGCTCCCGGCTACTCATTGCGGTGTTGCCCGGACCGAAGTTGGCTGAAACCTGAATCTGGCTGCAGCCGTCTGGTCCCGCGCTTGGTCTTGCGTTGCATCTTTCCTGCT